CATTGGTGCAACCATGGGCCCTCTACCCGTGTAACTGTTGGAGTACTTAACGTTACGATGCTCCGTCGTCAGGGAGCCTGAAGCGGAACGCCTGGCCTAACCTTCAGACACGTCTGGTGGGGAGACAGGCGAAATTATGAGAACGAAGAGAATGGCAGACAATGAAGGGGGGAAGAGGACAGAGATGTATACGTATGTATACGTGTGTACACATACATATATACATACATATATATATATACATTCTGTGCTTGTGAGTTTACAGACTAGACCCCCGCGCGCGCTTAGGTTTCAGCCGACTGCGCAGTCGTTGTAAGCAGACCCTGCGCTGATCTGCGAGCCCTAGGATACCCAGGGAGGGGGTTCCCCAGGCAGGGGCCGCTCTCGGCGCGTGCAGGTGCTGGGTCCTCTGGGGGTCGCTGGGCGGTCGCGAAGCCGTGCGAGATCGACGTGCGACGCGTCGGAAGGCCCCGAGTGTTTGCCAGACTGCGCAAATGACGTGACTGCCACGGTGGCCGAGGACGGCCCCGAGGGGCTCCCGGCCGCCAGGCCGTCGCCGCCGCCGCCGCCGTCGCGATGATCGTCGTGGTGGTCGTGGTGGTCGTGGTGGTCGTGGTGGTGGTGGTCGTCGTCTGTGAACGTGAACGGGCGATTGCACGTTCTGGGGCGTGTCTTGCTTGTCCGGGGCCTCCGGGGGCCTCTGGACTTTGGAGATCTGTGGGGCCTCCAGGGCCTCCAGAGGCCTCCTGGGGCTCTCCTGCAACTTCCACACGCCCCGCAGAGAACCCTGGAGGCCCAAAGGAGCGCCAAGGGAGCTCCCAGAGCGGCCCCAGAGCCGCAACAATTTGACAACAATTTGACACAACGCCGTCCTTGACGAGGAAACGGCTTGTGTTGAATTTGTTTTCAATTTGGGGTCCTCTTGGGGCCGTCTCGCCTCGGAGCTCTTATGGGCCGTCTGAGGCGCGTCTAGGGCCGTCTTGGGGTTCTCTTGGGCCGTCTTGGGGCCCTCTTGGGGACCTTCTGGGCCGTCTCGGGGCGGTCTTGGGGCCTCTTGAGGCGTCGTGGAGCGCTGGAGCCTTCGAAAACATACAAAAGCCACAAGGCAACCATTGGTTTTTGCCTCTTGAGGCCCTCTCGGGAGCGCTCGGCGAGCCCTCTTGGGCCGTCCGGGGGCACCTTAGGACGGAAAGCTCGAATTATGTCTTCGGGCTCCTGCGCTCGGGCCCCTCTGGTGCCCCTCTTTAAGCCGGCTTGGGGGCCTCTTGGCCCGTCTTTGGGCCTCTTGGGGGCCTCTTGGGCCGTCTTGAGGCGGTCCGGCCGTCTTGTGCCCCTCTTGGGGCAGTCTTGGGGCCCTCTTGGCCCGTCTTGGGACCTCTTGGGGGCCTCTTGGGCCGTCTTGGGGCGGTCCTGGAGGCCTCTTGGGACGTCGTGGAGCGTCGGAAGCTAGGAAAGCCGAGAATCCCAAAAACATTGAACAACCTAAGGACAATTCATGTGTTTGTCTTTTGGGGCCCTCTGGACAGCGCTCGTCGAGTTCTCTTGGGCCGCCTTGAAGCAATCTGGGGCTGCCCGGAAGCCCCGCGGGAATGTTGGAAGCCTTCTGGTGTCCTTGTGACGCCACTGGAAGCCGTCTGGGCGGTTCTCGGGCCGCTGGAGAGGGTGCCCTGGGAGCCCGGCGCCCCCATGGCGAGTCGGAGCAGCTCGGAGAAGGCCCCCGAACCTGTGCCCCGATATCTAGGTGTGTCTATATATGTATGTATGTATGTATGTATGTATGTATGTATGTATGTATGTATGTATGTATGTATGTATGTATGTTTGTATGTATGTATGTTTGTATGTATGTCTATATGTATGTATGTATGTATGCATGTATGCATGTACGTACGTATGTATGTATGTATGTATGTATGTATGTATGTATGTATATGTATATATATATATATATCAGAGTGAGGGGGCCGAACGGTCATTCACTGTCCCTGGGTGCGTGGCTGAAGTGGAATTCCGCGGTGCGGATTCGTGTTGTTGTTGTTTGTTGTTGTTGTTGTTGTTGTTGTTGTCTGTTGTTGTTGTTGTTGTTTGTTGTTGTTTGTTGTGTGTGTTTGCCTGTCCGTCCCACCCGCACCCCCCCCGCGACCACGCCGCGACGACCCACCCGTAACCCAGCCCGCGACCCTCCGCGACCCCCCGCGACCCACCCTCGCGAACCCACAGCCCGCGCCACCCCGCGACCCACCCCGCGCCCCCCCCAGCCGCCCCCCGCCGCGACCCAGCCACCCGGAACCCAAGCCCCATGACCCACACCGCCGACCCACGCCGCGACACCCCGCGACCCCCCGCGCCCCCCCTCGACCCAACCCGCGATCCGCCCGCGCCCAACCGCGACCCACCCGCGACCCACCCGCGACCCACCCGCGACCCACCCGCGACCCACCCCGCGACCCACCCGCGACCCACCTGCGACCCAAACCACATTCAGAGTACAAACCACATCTTTCGGCGCCTGCGGCGGGCATCTTTTGCGTTCGTTCTAGGTGGAGAGACCGCGGCCCACCCGCGACCACTTTCAGGGTACAAACTAAATGTTTCGGCGCCTGCGGCGGCCATCTTTTGCATTCGTTCCCGGTGGAGAATCCGCGGCCCACCCGCGACCCAAACCACGTTCAGTGTACAAACCAATTTTTTCGGCGCCTGCGGCGGGCTGCTTTTGGAGGAGGAGGAGGAGGAAGAGGAGGAGGAGGAAGAGGAGGAGGAGGAGGGGGAGGAGGAGGAGGAGGAGGAGGAGGAAGAGGAGGAGAAGGAGACGACGACGACGACGTCTACGACGACGACGAAAACGAGGAGGGGGGAGGATCGGGAGGGGGGGAAGAGGAGGACGACGAGGAGGAACATGACGACAATGGGAGGACGATGATGGAAGGACGAGGGGGGGAGAGGGAGGACGAGGAAAAGGAGGAGGAGGAGGAGGAGGCGGAGGAGGAGGAGGAGGAGGGTAGGGAGGTCAAGGAGTGCGGAGGGATGCAGCGCAAGCGCCTCGACAGGGAAGGACGGGCACGGGGTCCGCCTACCCCCCCCCCCCCCCCCGCTTGACGACGCCCGCGTCGCCCGCGCCCGCCCCCTCACTCTTATCCGCAATTGCGGGGTGCTACGTATCAGAGTGAGGGGGGCCGAACGGTCATTCATTGTCCCTGGGTGCGTGGCTGAAGTGCGGATCCGTGGTGAGGATTCTGCTTGTTGTTGTTGTTGTTGCTGTTGTCGTCGTCCCCCCCCGCGACCCAGCCCGCGACCCCCCCGCGACGCACCTCGCGACCCACCCGCGACCCACCCCGCGACCCACCCGCGACCCACCCCGCGACCCGCTCGCGACCCACCTGCGACCAACCCTCGACCCACCCGCGACCCACCCGCGACCCAGCCCGCGACCCACCCGCGACCAACCGTGGACCCACCTGCGACCCACCTGCGATCCAACCCGCGACCCACCTACATAGTTTTAGCAAAAATCGGCGCCTGCGGTGGGCTCGTTGTATAGCTTGAAAAATATTGCACCTGCGGCGGGCTTCTTCAAAGCCTCGCAGACTGCCGACGTCCCCGCCGACCTCTCACTCTTTTCCGCAACTGCGGGGGGCTACGTATTCTACAGATCTGATCAGGGAGAAAAGAAACAGAGAGAGAGAGAGGAACATAACAAAGAGAGAGCGAGACAGAGAGAGAGAGATCTATATATATATATATATATATAGCTAGTGCTGAAAAGGAGGAGGGAGGAGGGGTAGCAAAAAGGAGATGGGGCAAGAGATGACGAGAAATCTAGGGAAGGAGGGGGAGGAACGAGGTGGAGGAGGAAAGAGAAGCGAGCGGAGAGAGGCCAAGGAGCAGGATTAGAAGCAAGAGCCAAGGCCGGGCAGACGGTGCGGCAGGTTCCCGATGCAGTGCGGACTCTGGCTTTTGTGGCAGCCCGTCGCTTCAGCAGCTGGTGGGCGTCGATGCGATCACAAGGCTGCGTCCGATGCGGGCACTGGCTGCGCGCAACTGTTCGGACCGAGGAGCCCCCGACGCATTCACAGACCCACCTCGCCAACATCCTCGCGGGTATATCGCAAGACGCTGTTACAACCACGGGCCGCACCGTCTGCCGAGGAGCAGCGGGGGGTGGGAGAGAGGAGGAGCTTTTCACCCAGCCCGCAGCGCCCGCCCCCTGCTCCACTTGTTCGCTTCTTCGCCCAAGTCGGCGCCTGTTTTTGTCTGCGCGTCACGCATGTGACGCGAGGATCTCCGATCCCTGTCCGCGCAACGTCCAAGAGGAGCTTCACCCACCGGTCCGTCCTCCCTCGGGTCTTCCCCTCCCCCACCCTCCATCTACCCTTAGGTCGGGTGTGTCCTCCTACAGGGGGATTTTGGACGAGAAATTAAAACTACCCCACAAATGCCCCCCAAAAAACAAAACATTGTCAGCAAAAAGAATCCCCAGACTATTTTGTTAACCATTTCCGAATATTCCTCCCGTAGGGGGACAGGCCCGACTTGAATCTACCCTCCCTCCCCGTGCCTCCCCTTCCGCCCTGCCTCCCCGCTCCCGCTCCCCCGTTTCCTCCTGCTCCTGGCTCCCTGCCTGCTTCCCGATGGCCTGACAGCTCGTCGGACGCGCCCTTTCCCCCCCCTCCCCAGGGCCGGTCGACCACAGGGGGGGTGGCTCAAACGAGGGTGCCTTGCAGCGGCATGCTGCGGCACACGGCGGGCCTTGTGGTCGAAGAGGGGGTACCCAGAGGCGGGAGTTCCTCCTCCTCCTCCTCCTCCTCCTCCTCCTCCTCCTCCTCCTCCTCCTCCTCCTCCTCCTCTCTCCTCATCCTTTCTGCCCCTCCCCACTTGTTGTCGTCGCCGCCTCCCTCGTCAACGCTCGTAACCGTCGCCCTTCCTCGTCGTCGTCGTCGCCGCCGCTCGTCGTCGCTCGTCGCCGCCGAGGGGAGGGGGCGCAGGGGCGGGCCGAAGGGGGCCCGCGGCGGGCGGCCGGCAGGCGGGGCATAGTCGCGCAGCAGGCGCAGGCGCGGCTGCAGGGAGCGCCCGTCCTCCGCCTGCACCTCGCGGCGACGGGGACGCGCGGCGAGGACGAGAGACGACGGGAGCCAGCGGCCGCGGCGAGCGGGGGCGAGCGGCGCCGGCGGCGGCGAGGACGCTGGCGGCCACGGCGGCGAGGACGCCGCGAGAGCCAGGCGACGACCAGGGGCGACGTCGGCGAGGGCGGCGACGGGTGCGAGGGGCGGGGGGGGGGAAGGAGAGGATTTGGGTGACCCAAGAGGGGGTCCAGCTGCAAAGGGGTGGTGCCATACATGTGGGGCAATTGTATAGCAGCTGCACTGCGCCGGAGACTTGTCTTGCATCGTGTTGCAAATCGATGTGTTGCATGCGACGGCCCAGCAAGACATCTGCGCCCAGGAATGTACTGCACGCCCCAGAGGTATTCCAACTCCACGACTCTCTATATTGCACCAGATCTATTGCGCCACCCCCTTCTTGCTGGACCCCTTTTGGGTCAACCCGAGAAGGGGGCGGGGGAGGGGGACGGGGAGGTGGAGGAAGGCAACCGAGGCAAGCGGCAGGTGCCGAGCGCGACCGGAGAGACGCAGCCCAGAAAGGCACGGGGAGGCGGCGAGTCGGGGCGGAGGCACGGCGAGGACAGAGGAGGCGTGCGGCCAGCAGGGCGACTGGCTGAGAGATCGAACAAAAATATGTCAATACCGCTGCTCTCGGCTACACGTAAGAGCGACCCCAGGCAAAGGGTGACCCTCGGTGCGCGACGTTCGGGGGCCGCGGGGGGGAGGCCGAACTGGATCGCGCAGGCCGCTGCTATCGCATCTCGCTCAGCCATCTGGGGACCCCAGTGAGCCCGCACCAAAGGTAACTCCGGCGAAAGGTCCCTCTTACGTTCAGCCGATGCTCCCAGGATGCCGCCCCGGGTTGCGCTCTGACTCGGATTTTAAAAGGCGGGTCCGGCCGTGGCGGCGGGAGGCTCCCACGAGGCCCACGCAGGCGAAAAAACGAGGGAAAAGGGTACCCTCAGAAAGTCTTTAGCACCCCCCCCCCGCAAGGACGGGCAACGCATTATTTGCCGGGGGCTGACTGAAGTTTGCCGGCGCCCAGAGGTAACCGTCAGGCAATTCTTCCGCCGCCGCCGCCGACGAGCACGAGCACGGGCACGATCACGAGCACGAGAAGGAGGACGCGAACGGGGAAGAGGACGAGGACGAGGACGAGCACGAGGACGAGGACAAGGACGAGCACGAGGACGACTATTACTACTACTGCTGCTACGACGCCTCCTGCCACTGCTCTTACGACGAGCGCCACTGCGACTACGAAAAACGACTTGGAGGCGTGCGAACTTGTACACCAAAAATTGTACGAACAGTCGCTGCATTTCTCTCTCGTGCATGGTCCAAGGAAGGTGATCCGCCTGGAGAAACAAGCACCTGACATAATCCAATACGGCACTCGCTAGTGGGAACATTATTCCGGGGAGGGGAGAGAGGGGACGGGGGGAAAGGAAGATGAATAGGAGGAGGAAAAGAAGGAGGAAGGGGATAGGGGGAGGGGGAGGGGGACAAGCTAGGTGCGCTCGCGTCAACATCTGACATCCTACCCCTCCCTCCCATCCCTTCCCATTGAGCTACTTCATTGTCCTCTCACCGAATCGGGCTTCGCATCTGACCCTGTTACCTAAGAGGGAAAGGAGGAGGACGACGGCGCGATGAAAACGAAGACGACGACGACGAAGACGACGACGACGACGACAACCACGACGACGACGACGACGGCGGCGACGACGACGACGACGACGATGAGGACGACCGGCGACGAAGACGACGACGACGACGACGCGACCGCGCCGGAGCGGCACCCGCGCCAGCTGCCCGCTGCCGTTACGCGCGTCCCCCACCCGGATCTCAAATTTCTGCAGGGGTGAAAGGAGAGTAGCATTCATATTGGGTAATGGTAGAGTGGGTCGGAGCATATCATAGCATGGGGCCGGGGACCGTTGCACTGCAGCGGCATCACGATTTGGAACGACCAGCGGCGCGGAAAATAGGACGAACGCTGCAGCGGGAGCAGCATTCTGAAGGACCGGAAAGACTCGGATTTTCAAAAACATGGATGAAAACCAAACTCCCGGGAATCCTGTGCGGAAAAGGACGCCGCCCAAAAGGGGGGGGGGGGCTTTCTGCGGCCCCAAAAATCAACGAATCGACACCGGATGTGTAATCACCTCCAATGTTTTTGCCGGGGATCATTTTCTAGATTTGGGGCTTCTTAAAAAGGATCGAAAACGTCGGCGCTGCAGCGGGAGCACGTTTTGGAACAACGAGAGGCGCAGAAATTGGGCCAGCGCTGCAGCGGGAGCACGATTCGGAACGAGCGGGAGCGCGGAAATGAGGCCAGCGCTGCAGCGGGAACACGATTCGGAAGGAGCGGGAGCCCGAAAATTAGGCCAGCGCCTCAGCGAGAGCAGCATTTTAGAAAAAAACACAAGCGAAAACCCAACTCCGGGGAATCCTGTGTGTAAAAAAACAGTACGCGGGGGGGTGCCGAACATCTTCCGGACGCCATCAGGGGAAGTGGGAGAGTAGTATTCATATTGTGTAATTGTGGAGGAGGAGGAGGAGGAGGAGGAGGAGGACGAGGAGGAGGAGGAGGAGGAGGAGGTGGAGGAGGAGGAGGATGAGGGAGGGAGGAGAGGGAGGAGGAGGAAGGGGGATGGGAGGGGAGGGGGAGGGGGGAGGGGGAGGAGGGAAGGAGGAGGGGAGGAGGAGGAGGAGGAGGAGGAGGAGGAGGAGGAGGAGGAGGAGGAGGAGGAGGACGGAGGAGGAGGAGGAGGAGGAGAGGAGAGGAGGAGGAGGGGGGAGGGGGATGGGGAGTGGGGGGGGAGGGGAGGAGGGAGGAAGAGAAGGAGAAGAAGGAGGAGGAGGAGGCGGGGAGGGTGAGGGTGAGGGGGAGGAGGGGGAAGAGGAGGAGGAGGAGGAGGAGGATGAGGATGAGGAGGATGAGGAGGAGGAGCGAGATGCGGAGGAAGAGTGGGAGGACCGATCTGGATTATCAATGGGCGGAGGAGGAGGAGCTCCTCTGAGTGGCGGGAGAGAGAGAGAGAGAGAGAGATAGAGAAAGAGAGAGAAAGAGAAAGAGAGAGAGAGAGAGAGAGAGAGAATGAGAGAGAGAGAGAGAGCGAGAGAGAGAGAACGAGAGAAACAGAGAGAGAGAGAGAGAGAGAGAGAGAGAGAGAGAGAGAGAGACAAAGAGGGAGGGGGAAAGACAGGACAGCGGCCGCTCCCCGCGACCACGTGCGTGAAGAGCAGGTCGTCCATGACGCCCAGCGGCTGCAGGCGACCCCGGCGGGTGCCCCCGACGTCCACGCGCCCCGAGCAGCTGATCGTCATGCGCTCCGTGTGCCCCTCGCGGGCGCGCGGGCGCGCCGGCGGAGCGGGAGGGGAGCATACGGGCAGGATGCAAACACTTCGATCCTTGCCCAGGGGGCTCGAGCGCGCCTCCCACCGAGGCCACGCACCCAGGTCGGAGGGACTGGGGCGAGCCCGCATTTGCCGTGCCACGGAAAACAACTATCCCAGCAGCGCTGGAGAAATCGACATCATCATCATCACCACCACCACCATCATCATCATCATCATCACCACCATCGTTATCACCACCACCACCACCATCGTCATCATCATCAACGTCATCAATATCATCATCAGCAGCAGCACCATCATCATCATCAACATCATTACCATCATCCTCATCATCATTACCATCACCATCATCAGCAGCACCATCACCATCATCATCAGCATCCCCGTCATCATCATCACCATCACCCTCACCATCGACATCACCATCACAAGCATCACCATCATCATCAACATCACCATCAACATTATCATCACCATCACCACCATCATCATGACCGTCATCATCATCATCATCATCATCATCATCGTCGTTAGCTGCATCAACATGATCATCGTCATCATCGTCACCATCTTCATCGTCACCATGATCATCATCAGCATCAGCATCTGCATCATCTTGATCATCAACATCATCATTATCGTCGCCATCGTCATCACCATCATCAACAGCATCATCAGTAACATCAACATCGACATCCTCACCATCATCAGCATCATCATCATCATCTTCATCTTGATCTTCACCACCATCATCGCCACCGTCATTTTTATCGTCATCGGCATAGCCATCGTCATCACCATTATGATCATCAACAGCAGCATCAGCAGCAACAGCCGACGGAGCGGGAGGGGAGGATACGGGCAAGATGTATATCCATATCCACTGCATCTTGGAGCTTCGGGCGGTCCCTTCCCCGCATGCCCGAGGCGCAGTGGATATGGATCACAATCGAGGCCCAAACCTCCGACGAAAGGCGTATCTCGCTCGGGCGGTGGCTCTTCGCGCTCGGCCCCGGAGGGTCGGTGAGCGGGCCGCCCCGGAACATGCAGCATAATTCCGGTGCGGCGTTTGCTCTTCCTGGGCGGGCGTGCACGCAGGAGATGCATGCGCACACGTAGGCACGGAGAGAAAAAGAGGAGGAGCATACAGTCATCGGCCTGACCACCTAAGGAACGGTACACAAGGAACGAAGCCCTTTTTTTTTCTCCAAGGAGTAACGCAGAGGGAACGATCAAGAGTGCAGAACGCATAAGGAACGACACATTGCGCATGCAAGCCTAAGGAACGACCGAGCCCCTTTTGAAAAGTAGGTGTTCCTTCTCAAGCCGCTCACTGTACGCACACGTGCGCACGGACAGAATAAGCGCATACGCCACCAAGTTGACCACCCTCAGTGCGAGGAGGTGCAGCTGCGAGGCGGGGAGGCGGGCGGAACCTCGGGGGCCGCGGATGGCAAAGATCACGCACACGGACGCCAGGGGTAGGGCTAGGTCGAGCCTGTCCCCCTACAGGCCGACTTCGAGGAACAAAAACAAAACAGTCAGATAATATTCAAACGTGGACAAGAAGTACTAAAAATATATAGCCCCACGCTATATATATATATATGTATATATATACAATTATAAATATATCATATATAAATGTGTATGCGCACATCTGTCGTGTTTGCCTTGTTTTGATTTTGTTTTTGATATATATATATATACATGTACATATGTAAGCAATGCTTGACTATGCCTCGTGTAGGGGGGCACGCCCGACTTAAGGGTAGGGGCGGCGGGGGGAACTGTCAAGCCTGGCCCTCGAGCCCTCGGGGCTCGAGCGGGCGAGGCCTCCAGACGCCTTGCCGGGGAAGCCAGCGGGAGGCACGGCCGGCCTCGATTGGACAGCACACTCGAGAGGAGACGAGGCACCCCGAGGTGATCAAAACAGATTACCAAAACATCGTCCCCAGGCTATGTTTCTACTGTTTATGTTTGAACACTCCTCCTGTAGAGGGGCACGTCCGACTTAATGATATCCCCCCCCTCCCACAGTCGGCCTCCACTGGACAGGACACTCGAAGAGGACACAAGACCCTTCCGAGGGCCACATCGCCATAGGAAAGTAAGAAGGCACGTGCCGCGAGACACAGGACACAAGGGTACCCTTGAGATGGCAGGGTCGACCTACTGATCCAGGCTGACTGTGTCGACACCGCCACTCCCCGGACCTCTCCCGGGGTGCGTTCTGCCCAGAACTCCGTGGCGAACCCGGCGGCCGCGACGAGGGCCGCCCAGGAGGCCCCCCAAGAGGGGGAAGACGAGGGACGGGTAGCAAGGGTTTCGGTTTTAGGGTTCAGGGTACCTTCAAGCCTTCTCCTCCTCCGACTTCTCTGGGTCTCGGGAAGCCTCTGGAGGCTCCCGGGGAGCTCCGAGGGGTCGGGGTCCGGTGCGGGATTCTACAAACTACCAGGGAGGAAGGACCCCGACCCCCGACGTGATGATTTTTTCATGACGTCGACCCCCAAAAGTCTCGACCCACTCCCCAGGACCAATTTTTCATCCTGGGTCGTTTTTCTATGGTCCCGAGGGCCAGCACGGGCCCCCAGAGGCCGAAATTAGCGAAACATCTCCCGTCAGAGCTACGCCAGCCCCTCTCCAAGGCTCCAGGGAAGGCATCCCCGGAGCAACCTGCTTGAGCAGGCAGCGTGTCACGAGAAGCGTTTTCCTACTCGTTCCCAATACGCGTGCTCGAAGCTTTGCCGCAGGTCCTTTGCAGCTCTCTCGAAGCTCCTTCGAAGCTTGATTTTCGAAGCTTGCAAGCTCCCCAGGCATGCTTTCTAGCGCCCTGGCAAGCATCTCCGCAAAGCTTGCAAGCTTCCTAAGCATGCTTTCCATCGTCCCCGCCGGCGTCTCCCACCTTCCCAAGCTTGCCAGTCCAGGTTTGCCCTTACAACTGCTCCGACCTGGGCAGGTGAGCAAGTCGTAGAACTGCTCCGACCTGAGCAGGTCGTAAAAAAGCTCCAATCAGAACAGGTTCCCGGATAGCTCGTAGAGAGCTACGAAGGCTCATCTTAAGAAGCCGGAGACGCAAGATAGCCCGAGAGGTCGTTTGTGCTTTCGGGAAACATCCCCAGAGAAACTTGCCCGAGATTGTAATGTCTCCCGGCAGGCCTTTCCTAAGCGTTTCCCTATGCGCGTGCCCGGAAGCTCTCCTGAAGGTCCTTCGGAAGCTTTCTCCAGGTCCCTCCAGAGTTCATCGCCAGAGTCAAATCATATTCAAAAATGATCAAAAATAGTGGAACATCGTCCCCAAACTATTTGTAATACTATTTTGGAATATTCCTCCTGTAGAGGGACATGCCCGTCTTACGGGTAGACAAAATACACCCCTGCTTAGGAAACTGTTGGCTAAGAACATGGACTTCACGACAAGCATCTTCTTAGACAGCAGTCCACGTCCAGAGATACGAACATGCGACGACAAACACATCTCCAAGAGAACGCCCAGGGTCCAGTCCAAATTTTGAGGTTCTTGAGTGGAATCTGGAGTCTACAAACGTGGATACTTTTTCTGAAGAACTTTGGTTGGCGAGGTTGCGCTCAAACGATAAGCACGTGCCGATGGATCCTCTTCCCCCGCATCCCAAACCCAGTTTGAGGGGGCGGCCTCGCCAGCGCATCTCTCGGGCCCTACATGCGGCCCGCGCGGAACAACGTGGGCCAAAACTGCTTGCACAGTGGCCTTCCCTGCGGCCCCGGCCAAGCCGCAAGATGGCTCCGAGGTGGTCAGGGGGCCTCCCAGAACGTCCCCCGAGGAGCCTGAGGGCCTGGGAGACCTGGGACCTGGAGTGGTGAGATCCGTGCGTCCCTGCTACAGCGTCTGGACTTGCGGCGCCCGGAACTGGCACTCATACCCCATTGCCACCTTTTTGGGGGGACCTGGGATATCTGGAACGCTGCGATTCCAATACCCCTGCCACGCATCCCGAGAGCCATGGAGTGGTGAGACTCTGGCGACGTTGCCTCACTTCCTGGGAGTGCTCGGTTTCTTTTCCGAAGGAGACTGGAGCGGACTTCAAGACTCAGCAGCACGCGTGCGGGGTACGAGCGAGGAGACGATCTTCATGGGCCGATCTCTGGACTTAGAAGAGATCTGAAACTGTGACACAGGCCTCGGAAGACATCAGCGAACACTCGTGCCACATTCATCCGTCAGTGCCCCCCCACATGATCCATGTGGGCGGTGGGCCGAGTGAGCTGCACCTCGGCCGCAGCCTCCCCCGCGCGTGCCAGCTCTGAGTTTGGGGGAGGGGGGGAATGTCCACGAGCTGTCTCCCTCGACCGTCGCCCAGCGCGCCTGCAGCACTCTCTGGACCCATGGGGAGGGTCGGAGTGGTGAGGATCCCCGCGGAGGCGCCGCGCGCTGAGCACGGACCCCGTGCGCCCACCGTGCTGAGAACGGAGCCCGGCCGACCGCCGCTGCCCCGGAACCTGGGACGCAGCGTCCTCCCGTGGGCGCGCGCGGGAGTCAGCGGAGGGCCCCCGGGGGGGGAGTGAGCAGGGGTGGCAGGGCCCGGGTTGGCGCTTGCGCGACGAGACCCGTGCGCGCGCGCGTCTCTCGCTCGGTTATCCGGGTTTTTGGGCAGCAACAGTTTCCCGTCCCCGAGGGTCTCTCCGCTCTCCGGGTTCTGAGCGCCTCCCAGCGGCCGTCGAGCTCCGCATCGCGCGGTTTCCTTCTCAGAAGGTTTGGAAGACCTCTGGCCTTCTGGCTGGTTCTCCAAGCCTGCCCCGCTGGCACGGACAGCCTCTCGGGAGGCCAGAGGCCTTCTGAGAAGCCCCGCCGCCCTCTGAGAAGGCCTCCTCCTTCTCACTTCCCTCCCTCGTTCGCCGACGGGGGACGCATCTGGAGCGGGTGGGGAGGCACCGTTGCCCGCTGCAACGGTTTTGTGCTGATGCCGCAGAGCCCGGCGCCCTGGGCAGAACGGATCGACAGC